GACCCTCTGGACACAGCTTTGGTTGCACTACCGGAGAGGTTGTTCCCTCCATTTCTTGTAGTATCTCGCACAAAGCTTCAGCTTTGCCCCGAATGTCAATTTGATCCAAAAAATATAAGCATCGCCGTCTGTGTTTGTACATCCCCGTGGTTGGGTCTGGAGCATCCTCAGTCCGGCTCCCGCCCGCGCGGTCCTGAGCTCAGCCTCCCTCCCTCCCTCCCTCCCTATGGCTTTTTTAAGGATCTCCTTGGTGTGCACATGCCTCGTGTGTGACTACGGGGTTTTATTACTAATAGAAGAAATATGCTCAAAGAACATCCATGAGCAAAATGTAGAAAAACCCTATTAAAAAAAACATTTAAAAAAATTAAAAAAAAAAAAAAAGCAGTCCTCATCTTTTCCAGCCGGGAGGTCACAGCAGAGGGTAAAGCTCTTTAAGAAGTCCCTTTGCCAAGCTCTGGTAGATATTTTCCAGGATCTGCATCAACTCCACAGGCAACCAAGTGGATATCTCGGGAAGGCTTTTTCCCCCCTCCCCAAAGTTTCTCATTAGTAAAGCTGCAAAGAGGGACTCGCAGTCTTATTTCAGTCCTTTCTATCTCATTTTACTCTATCTCATTAACACTTCACCGCCCCAGGGTAGGGGGGTGGTGGTGGTGGTATTTTTGCTAGAGAATTACCTTTCCCATGGTACAGTTCTAACAAAAAAAAAATGACACTTGCTGTGACTAAAAAGCAGCCAAATAAAGAGCGACTGTGGCCAAGCAGTTTACAATACCATATATGCCCACATCTACATGCTGCTTTTAAAAATGTGGAGTTAAGTGAGACACAGGACCAACTTTTTCTCCTCCAAACCAAGCGACGTCCACAAGCTGCTGTGGGAAAATCACACAACGCGTTTCCCAGCTCTCATCACCCTTTTTATATATATATTTATTATTATTATTTTTTAAATGAACTTCGTAGCAGCGAATCCGAGAGAGAAAAGCAGTTTATCATCACCTTGCCTGGGAGCGCAGCTATCGGTTTGAAGCTTAGACATAATCCCGTTTTTTGGGGATTTGTACCCAAAGCCGGCAAGATGCGGGCAGGCAGAAGGTGGGTTACGCGGCAATCTGGCAGCTGCCTGAAAAATCCCTCTGCCTGTGGTTTAGCTCCCCCAAGGGAGGCACCGACAGCCTCATGACTTGAGGCGTTTAAAAATAGGCAGAAGAAGGAAGAATTTGCGATGACGCCGCTGGGAACAGCTCTGAGACCGCCAGGACCTCATCCTGCGCCCCCCCCCACACCTTGGGGACCACGTAGTCACCTCCCGCACGGCACGGCATGGGTACCAGGGGGCTGAGACCCAGTAGGTGACGCACGAACCTTTAGCTGTGATGGTGGCAGCCAGGTTGGGGCATGTCACGTCACGGCCTTGTCGGCAAAACCCAGCAATAAATAGTGAAGCCAAATATTTCAAGTTTTCATTAAAGAAAAAAAAACAAAAAAACCCCCAAAAAAAACCCAAAAAACCACCTGGAAAATTTTTAATTCTGCCGTCTTGCCTGTCCTTTTTCACAAGGGCCAGGGATCATATAAAATAATCTACTTTTTAAAAAATATATTTTATATATAGACACATATATGTTTGATATTATTTTTCTAGGAGGTGGAAGCTCAATTTAACTGTTTTTGATGTGCTGTCGTAGCGGTGATGCTGTTCCACTCCTGAGGAAGTGCCGAATGGATAATGACGGAAAAGGCAGTGTCGGTCGCCAGGGCTGCTGGTGACAGACAGACAGACAGACGGACGCCTCATTGTACCCGGCAGAAAGGTGCCATCCGATGCCCTTGAGGACCGCAATTTCCCCGCGTTGAGGCTCGTTTTTCAGGTCTCCCGTGAGCTGAAGGAACGCAATGCCCGGGGAGAGGGGGAGCGGTAGCTTCAGCCCATTAAAAATGAAAAGAAGGGAAATGGTTTCAATTGATTAACCATAAACATTTGCTTCTCTCTCTCTCTCCAAAACCCTTCCGCTCCTTTTACTGACCTCGGACCTCTCGAGGGACCCGATGACCTGTGCTCTACCTTTTCTTACGGCGCGCAAGAACCCGCTTGCCTCCAAACTTCGCTCAATATCCTTCACTGCTTCATGCCACAGACTAAGTCGCTCCATCCAAATAATTAGAGAGGAAGATCTGCCGAGCAAAGAGTCGGGCTCCCAATTCCAATCCCTTGCTCCCTTTGCAATATTTTCCAGCTCGCCTCAAGTTAAATAACACCTGGTCAAACTTCCCACCTTTGTGTTCTCCTCTCTCTTTGGGCCAGCGATGCTCTACAAGCAACAAGAGCAGCATTAACTCTTCCTGTGCCAATATAATTTAATCTGATAAAATCCTTACGATCTTAGGTGTCAATCACCCAGGGATGAAGCGTCCAAGGACTGGGAACAGACAGTGATGGGTGAATGAGGGAGGAGAGGCGTTGTTTGGGGTTTTTTTAGGGAAGTAATTAAATGTCAAAATAACCGCTGTCCCCCGTACCCTTCCCCTGAGTTTTGGCAAGTGATCCCGATTCTTACAGAAGTATTGCTGAAGAGAAATAGCAGACACGCAGAGGACTCCGAGATAGCGAAAAATGCCTGTTTAAACTATTTTTAAAGGCATAGCTGCTCAGCGGTATCAAATATTACAGGAGCTACGGTCCCAAACGGTTCCTTTTCTTCGCTTAAAGGCTGTCCTTAACATAACCAAAGTGTTACACCTTGGCAGCAGATTACACATTTCTCCCCAGTCGTCAAAAAATAAGGCAAATACTGATTTTCCAGCATTTCTCAAGGCCTCGAAGGGACGGTGGTTACAGGTACCGGGAGGGAGCAGTTGGGTTGTTTTTCACATAGAGGCCAAACGCAGGATCGATATTGCTTTAGCGGCTGGCAGATGATGAGATCATGTCTAAATTAACGCAACTCAGCCGCCCGGCTGGGAACTGAGTTCCCAGAAAGAGGGCCGGGGGAGGAAGGGCACAGCCCCGGGGTGGTTGGAGGGTGGGTGAAGCCGTCAAGGGACCAGCTCCAGGGCTGGTGGAGACGGCCACGGCGGGCGAGCTGTAAGCCAAAACTGTGTTATAGTAGAGGGAGAAGTGATGGAGAAACACAGGGTTGTGCAGGAGATCCCTTCGCTTTAGGCTGGAGCAACCCAAGCAGCCCAGCCTTGAGTTTTGGACTACAGACCTCCCCGATTGCCCAATTTTTACCTTCTGCGTGGTCAGTCCTGGCCTGAGCCGGACCCGAAGCTGAAACCACAATACACCCCAATACCTCGCCTGAAACGTTAGACCCCACTGCCATCTTGTGGCAAACGCTTCCCAAAAGAAAGTAAAAGAGGGGAAAACCTGTTAGGAAGTTGCAGACAAAGTTAGCTGGCGTAGTGAGGAAGGATGGGTAAGTAATTGGGAGCAGGTTGGGGAAACTCATTGCTTCTCTCAAACGATGCTACGACTGACTCTATAGCACCGCGCCAGATACAAATCGATGCCGGGAAAAAAAAAACCAAACACAGAGAAGGGATGATCCAAACCAAATTTGCAAAACTGAGGGTATAATCACACACATAAAGTATAATTCCTTGTACAGCCACGACTGCCTTTTGGTCATGGCTCTGGCACATCAATACCGGCAAAGATTTAGTCGCTGTTTCAAAAAGTTTAATGGCTTTCAAAGTAATTTAGCATGGCGTTGGTTCGAATAAGGCTTGTCGACCCCAATAAGCAGGATTAAGCTGGCATTAGATATTGCACCTCTGAATTAAAGAACGCAGTTGCTGGAATTTACCGCAAAGACGATTTAAAAGACGGGGATTATGGCTCATGTCGATCATTCACGTAGCACGAAGCATCTTTTGGATGCTGAAAACCCACAGATTAGCACCCCTCAGGTTTTCAAAAAGCACCTCGTCGCAGGAATGAGGCAGTTTTGAAAATCACCACGGTCCTTATCTGGCTGTTAGTCCCAGCCAAGCGCTCCGAACACACCTCGGCATTTATTTTTTGCATCATTTATCATTTACAGCACTCACGCCATGGTGGAGCCTTTGCTTAGCAACTGGGGATCAGTTCCTCGGAACCGCTTTCCGAGGCATCAGCAAAGTGCCTCGACTGCTGTATCATCCACTCACGTTGCAGATGGCTCTCACCGTGCTACAAAAAACAACGACAAATTGCTTTTCCTTCATCATATTGCAGTAAGCGACTGCCAGATGCTGTATCAGACAGCATTGAACTCGTGTATGACCACTCACCAGGTTTAGGTACAAGTGAACAAAAACTCACCAAACAAACAGAAATTAATGAATCATTTACAAAAAGTGCGTCTCTCTCCTCAACGCAAATC